TCTTTGTTCCTTTGTTCTCGGTGCATTAGAACTGAAGCTAGGGAGACTTGAGGTACGAAGTAAAACCGTCACTGGAATGGGGCGTGTCTAGGCATCCTGGCCAGGATAATCCATGAATCCAGCAGAGCTTTGATCAATTGCCCTTATGAGCATGGCCATACTTCGCTTCTACTTTACTTATATTGCATTTGTGGTACAAACTGCAGACAGCTCCTCAATCGAACCCCCGGCCAAAGCAGGGGCTGATGAAGAAATCTCGATGCATCATTGTCAATCAACGTCACCTCATTTAGTCCGGTCCAGTCTAGCGGGCGATTGGGGTGAGGGGTATTATCTGCATTGCGGGTCTTCTCTTGGTCGAGGCTCTAGAGATGACGAGAACTGGGGCTCCCAGCTTAAGATCGTTTAGAGGGGAAAAAAAGAAAGAGAAAAAACGTAATCCGTTCCGATGGCAAATGAATTGAGTTGGAGCGGATACCAACCACGAGAACTCTGAAGCATCGACCTAAGTTCTTGGGCTTACACTCGCTCGCACGAGCAAACACGCATGTCGAAGAGCCTTTATCCCGTGTGAATGCATGTATCTAACTGGAGAGTTTGGCCGCCCGTCGCTTATGTACCCCGTAAAGTTACATGGGGTCTTCCCGTGTGGAAAAGCAATGCTTCTGCATGAATACCTATGACGAACACGTACACATTATAGTAGCTGGCCGAGGTCCTGGCAGAGCGGATATTGCATGGAATTGGGTGGGCTTTCGGTCTCGACCAAGATTCTTCTGCGGTAGTGCATGGTCTCCAGAAATCAGCGGATTTCATGTGTCACGGATTGAATGTAGGAACGGGAGTGACTCCCTTTTCTGTTCGCCACAGACGGGCCGCAAACGTTCGATTTGCATGAGATCATGCAACTACGTGGAGCCCCCAAGAAGTTGGAGAGCGAAGCGACACAATTGGTAGAGTGAGAGCAGAGCGAGGTTGAGAGAAGAAAAAACAACCCCTCTCAGAAGCTTGTTCAGAAAACAGACCACCATCTGCCGCTGGAGATGGGCCCATCCTGTCGAGAACATCAGAATTAAACCTCTATGCTAAATGGGACCGATTGCGTATCGATAGCGTCGGTGAATTACGTTGGCAGCGGCTAACCCGGGCTGTATTCAAGTCACTGCCCTCCTATATGGGCCGCACATGGGCGATCGGCAGTAAAGGTCCAGCATACTGAATCTAGTGAGGTGTACTGTGTAGTTAGATGCAACCCGCAGTCTTCATAGGGGGGCGAGAGTGGGATGCGAAAGCTGGCAGCCAGAGTGGGAAAACACATGCTGAAAATGCACTGGCGACTAAACTAGGAGCAAAAGCTCGAAATGGCGGTGACATGTTCCCTCTTCAGGTAAGGCCGGTCTCACCTCGCTAGGCGAATCAGCGCCTCCGACCCCACCAGAAAAAAGTTTAGTGCAATATATCCAAACGACGAATTTTCCCTGGCCTTCTTGGGCTCTTTTCTCCTCCCTTCCTCTCTCTTTCAGAGATCAAATCACCACCTCATCAAGACAACGAAGTCGCCCTACCAATCCACAAAGCTCATCAGTCAATCATACCGAACCTCGTCGAGAAACATGCCTTCGGCCGTCGCTGAGCTGTAAACCCCCACTGCGGGACATGTCCGACCGGCGTGTCCCGTAGTCATTCAGTTCACCGAGTTATTCAACAAATATCGACCTCGACGAAGTTCACACCAGACTTTCACTGCACTGGTGCCTTCGATCTCTTATGATCTAGGCCCACGGAAGTCTGAATCACACACGAACGACTGCGCATATAGCCTGATTTCTATCAAGGCTTGCACTACCATTTTTCTGAGCACTGACGATTCCCACCTTGGCGACAGCATCACCTATCCCTAACTCCGACCATCCCAATCCACATACTATACGCCCCCTCCAATTAACACTATATCGTCCCAGTAGGACATAGATAGGACCGAAGTCCTTTCTAAACATCAATAAGAGGAATTCATTTCCTCGATTTGCTCTATATCCACCCAATCGCAGCGGCTAGCTATTGCTGCATACTCAGGCCTCACCGCCGTTTGTCTCTATTTTCAAGAATAGCCAGTTCGACACCCCTGTCAACCCCTGCATAATCCCGTGCTACCTTATTATATTCTGCCACATCACAATGTCACGCAACGTCCGCCAGAAACACCCCGCCACTCCCGTCAAGGCCTCTAAGCGCCGGGGCTCTGACTCGTCGTCGTCGCTTGATTTGTCCGACAGTGATGGCTATTCCGCCGTCGGAGCTATCAGCGACTCAGATGAGGATGACGAGGAGGATGTAATTGCGGCCGAGGAGGAGCATCTCGTAACCAATCTGTTGCATGGAAGCACGCACAGCTCTCCTCGGCCAGTTCACGAAGAAGACGACGAAGGAGATGATGAGGACGATGATGCTGAAGATGAGGAGGAGGAAGACGAGGATGATGAAGAAGAAGACGATGAGGATGACGACGATGACGACGAAGTTATTGAGGATGCGGGCAGCTGGGAAGGCTTTATGTCTGAGGGACACGAGCATGAGTCTGATGCTACGACTCAAGCCGTGTCCGTGGGCTCCGTCGAGCGCCGCGTTCGCTTCGATGTGCCAGACTCTGATGGAGACACCACCGAGGATGATGAGGGCATCGAGGACTTCTTTCCGGACATCTTTGTCGACCAAAATTCTTTGGATCCATCATTCCGCCGCGAAATTGAGGACGATGACCCGGATAACTCGTCTGACTCGGGCTCCTTTTGGGACTTGCACGGCAACAATGAGAGTGATATCTTGTATGATCTCACTGCTTCAGATGCCGACACTGCTGCTATTCTCGCTGCTATCGAGGACGATGACAGCACTCCAGTTGCTACCCCAATGACAAGCAACGACTTGACTACTGCTGCGTCCACTCCAGCTGCATCCCCCGACGCTGACGAGTTGTCTCTGGATGGATACCAAAGTGAGTAGCGTAGCGTTGATCGGGTAACGCATAATGCATAAAGTGCTAACAAAGGACGTCCTTCCAGGCGATGGTGACACTACTGACGATGAAGATCCTCCGCCCCGACCCATTCGACGCAAGACTTCTAGGGACGGAGCTTCTCGCGCTGCAGAGCTGGAAGCGGCTGCGCTCATGAGGCCCCGTCGTGGGAAACCCCGTGTAGGCCGTTTCAACCTCGATAGCAACGGGCAGAAGCCAGTGGCGGTGGTTAACCCTCGCACTGGAAAGCTCATGATTTTCACCCCTCAGAAATTGAGGCGCCTAGATCTTTCCCCAGAAACGTTCAACTTCCCCTTCTTTGAACCCGTGTCCCAGTCATCTCCCATTCTTAGCAACTCTGGGAACCTCATGATGGGAGCCATGTTTTCTTCGAATACCTTTGGCGACTTCATGAACACACAGGCTGTCGGCCCGGTGGAAGCGTTCTTTTCAACCTCGCCCGGGGGCAATATCCTTGACGATATCTCCGAGGAGGATATTGTAGAGGAGGATGATGATGATGAAGAAGATGAGGGCGAATCTGGACTCAACTTGGATGACTTCCTGACCTTGGAGGAATCCTCTGATGAGGATGACGATAACATCCCCGACGAGCATGATTTGTATTCAACCACTCCTGGTCGTCCCACTACGGCCTCCAGCGATGTGGCTTCTCTCCTCAGCCATCTAGAGCACAACTCCGATATAGTAGGAGCATTCCGTCGAGACCAAGCCAACTCTCAACTGCTCCGAAGTGGAAAAGCTACCCGTGAATCCTTGGCCTTCTCTGGCCCGTTCTTCCAAGGCACCCTGCGCGGCATCAAGGACGGTCGGATTTCCAGCACCAATGTGCCCATTTCTCCTCTTCGAAAACAAAAGCGCCGGGGCCCTGACTTGACCAGCAGCCCTCTTGCAGGCATGTCCCAGAAGAGAAAATCATCAGCCCAACAACAGTTCGGCCACAAGCGACAACGTAGCATTCCAGACGTCGATCTTCTCTCGATTCAATAAGCAAACCCAAGGTCTCCTTGAGCGATCTGGAACGAAATAACAGCACTTCCATAAACGAACCTGGACGGCATGGCCTGAAAACGGTCATCCCTGGCCAAAACCAGCGAATGATAGCATGATTGCTTATCGTTTTTAAATTTCTTTCATTATCTTGTACTTGCTCTTTTTTTGTTTTGTCTTACAAGCAATGATGGATTGAAGAGTAGACAAAAAGTTTCCAACGGGTCCACTCTCGTTTGAAGAGTTTGCTCCGTCGGTAGACAAAAGCCTTTGATTTGTACTCTTACGATACATTGACCCCAGTAACAATTGCATTTACATCTTCAAGCAGATCACTCCGGATGGTGCTTCTGGTGAAGCAGTATTCGGGCTGTTGACATCTGCATGGCCTGAATTGTCACGACAGCCTAACCAGCCATGGACAGAGATGAGCCATGAGCTTCTATGGAGGTAGTGGAGTATGGCAGGATGTGGAACGTGAGACTCCACGATCGACTTGTTCGAACAAACTGTAATGCCCATCTCTCGTAGCAGAGGTGTGTCACTGGTGGTCTTTAGGTAGAGTTTTGCAGAATCTTTCTGAAAAGCACAATTAACAATCGTTCTATACACCTTGCTTGCCTATACGTGCCTATGCTGTGAGCTTCTCAATCTTTTCTCGTGATAGTCCAGAAACCATTTACTATGTACGAGAATTCTTCGGCACACGTGCCACAGCGGTATTTTCGTCTGATCATCAACTAGTGTCCTCTTCGGACCTCTCCGAACAGCGATGACCCCTTACAACAGGCACGGTGCCTGAATGAGGGATCCTAGACTACGGCGTACAACTAGTAGAAGTGGATTCCCTTATGTAAATACGAAGTCAGCCGATGAGGCGACTGCAATTTCTTGGCCCCGCACAGTAAACCCACCAGGGGATGGAGGGGTACGCCAGCTCGCATATTAGCTAATAAGGTCCCATGAGCTCAACACCGGCTCTGTGGCCTAATGGCTAAGGTGTCACTTTCCGGTTATCGCAACTAGATCATGGTGAAGATTCGGAGTTCGAGTCTCTGCAGAGTCGCTTGTTAATCTTTTCTTTTTTATTCTTTTTGCTCCCCTCAATCCACATGTTTTTTTTTTCTTTTGGAATTTTTTAATGGTTATATCTTATTTCCATATATTGAGGATGAGAACTTATTTTATCCGGTCGCTCCATGTCTGTTATGTCTTCACGGTTTCATTATCACCTCAAGATGCCTTTTACTTGGTAATACGTCTCGACCCGTATTGACCTGACGCCTAGAAGCATTCGTGAATTAGTCGATGGAACACAGTTTCTAGCTGGGCCTCTTCAACCGATGAACCCTTATTGCAGTCAAGAAATATGACATGGTTGGAGTTTTTAAAGAAGCGTCAATAGTACGGTCATCTCCGAACTACTTATGTGCTTGTGGTAGCCAACAGCAGTGGCAATTTAACCGTGTGAATACCTAGGGTGACTTTCCCATTGTGCCTTTTTCACATGAAACTTGCTTCACCCCAAACCCAAATAATTTGGGCATGTTGAACATTTTGAAAATCTCATATAAGCCCAATCTCGGCCAGACAGACCGTTGCTATATTCTCGTTTTGAGCTTCGTGAAAAGCTAGAGAGGCTCGGTCTGATCATAATCTTGTCGTCTCAAGATGTACATGTGACATAATTCTCGGCACAAGGTATAAAAGTATGCACTTGCATACTCAATGCATGTTTCCCCCCCCAATTCTGATTATTTCAATGGCACCATGAAAGAAACCAAGTCGGGCGTGGTATGCATACATGTTGTATGTAGGTTACTTCGTCGTCTTGTATTTCAGGGCGAATCCTTGGTTGTCGCTTATCGCTTATCGGCCTCAATCCCTTAAATTCAATTTACGCGGTCCACCCTGCATCTCGTCGCGCCTCCTTCCCATACAGTAACCAACCCCTAGCTCAGCGCAACTGCTTGTTACCTGCTCCTAGAGATGGCGCCAGGCAGGCAAGTGGCTTGTCTCATCAGTTAGCAGTACTATTTCGAGGCACGGAATGCCCGGCTACTTCGCATGTTTGCTTGGCGTGCAGTACGATAAATAAATATAAAATGGAAGAAGCAACGCAACGTCACTTCTTCTTGCACGGAAAAAAGGTTGGACAAAATCCTATCTGTTAGAGTACAGGTCCTTCGTATATTTTGACTGCAATGCTAATATGGTTGACTTAGGGGCTCGAAAGGGAGAAAGGGAAATGCCATTTTTGCCAGATCCGCTCCTTCTCCACGTGGCCAGACTATCCGGTAAATATCGTCAATGACGAAGATGATGAAGTGCTAGATCCCAGCTTCCGCTTCATGGACATGTCCGTGTATGGAAATGGCGTCGAACCTGCTAGGAGCGAGTTCCGCAGCGGATGCGACTGCGCAGATGGTGAAGAATGCCAGTACAGCACGTGCCATTGTCTGCAAGAGATGGAGGATGATTCTGACGGACAAGACGGCCTATATGGCGAACCGCGCAGGAAGATATACGCCTACCACACACACGGCTCGAAGGCGGGGCAACTACGATCTAAGGTTTTGAACTCGAGGGAGCCGATATACGAATGTCATGATGGATGCTCCTGTGGACCAAATTGTCCAAACAGAATGGTAGCGCGCGGTCGCAAAATTCCACTTCAAATATTTCGCACATCTGACCGCGGCTGGGGCGTCCGAAGCATGGTTGACGTCCAAAGAGGCCAGTTCATTGACAAGTATATGGGTGAAATCATAACACCGCGTGAGGCAGATCGGCGCCGAGCGGAAGCAGATATCGCCCAACGCAAGGATGTTTACCTCTTCGCCCTCGATAAGTTTTCAGACCCAGACTCGCCGGACGAAAGGCTACGGGGCCCGCCGCTTGAGGTAGACGGGCAGTTCATGTCGGGTCCGACACGGTTCGTCAATCACTCGTGCAACCCGAACCTGCGCATATTTGCCCGCGTGGGAGATCACGCGGACAAGCATATCCACGATCTAGCACTCTTTGCAATCCGTGATATATCCAAGGGGGAGGAGCTAACGTTTGATTACGTGGATGGGGTGGACGATTCCGAAAACGATGCGTTTGACCCTGCAAAAAAGAAGGATATGACGGCGTGCCTATGCGGAAGTGAGAACTGCCGTGGCTTTCTGTGGTGATAGCTGTGAATAGAGAGCCGCCAAGCAGAGGGGCTTGGAGATTATCTGAAATCGAGTCCCAGCCGCCGCCAGAGCAAGATCAAGGTGAATCTCGCAATAGCATCATAATTGTATATTCTTGTTACGCAAAGCGAGATAGCCGCTGGATGAAGTGGGCGGTACATCAATCACAGGCATGTGATTGGGCTTTTCTTGCATACAAGCTTGACCCTAGCACACTGGACTGCAGCTGCTACGTAGTCATGGTACCACCGGGCTAGCTAGCCCACGATACGTCGTTCCATTCAAAACCATTTGCCGGACCACGCGTGCTCGCCAACGGTAGACGGCGGTATGGGTATTGGAATACGTCAGGAGCGCTGCTCTTCTTGGAGGCCATTTACTGGTTTCGAGATTTGTGTAATTTGCAACCCTAGATCAGGGTGCCTGTTTGGCTCCCGTCTATGTACATAGCTAGTTGGTAATAAAACGTTGCACTCCTGGAATGCCTGGGTCACCATTTTCCATGGGTCCAGCTCCGGGCCTGGCCCGGTGGCCGTTCTGGTCTCGCTGCATTAGTCCCAGACACTGGGCGGGGCGGGACCCCCAAAGAACGGGGTCACTCTTGGCACTTCGCGATCCAATTTTAAGCCTCAATCCCAACCCCTACAACCACCGCCGCCGGGCTCAAGTTGATTTTAAAAGACGTGGCGCGATTCATCGCCGGTGGGGGCTTGACCTGTACCGTTTGCACCTTCCCGCCCAACCTATTCCGTCACTTTTACGTCTGCGAATCATGCCTCATTTCTGCGTCTAACAGCAGCGAAGACCCAATCCGCATATCATGGTAGGCTTTCCTCCGATCTCTAGCGTCTCGGCCGGGAGATCAACCCTCTCCCCATCCACTCCTGCTAAACAGTGTGTGATTCACAGGGCTGCTGTTTCTCTCGCCCAGCCGGGCCCAACGCTCCGTATCCTGGTGGAGGGCAAGCAGGGTCGGCTCGCGCCATCAACTCACCGCGCCTCCTCGCCTTGACCACGGAAGAGGGTTCCAGGTCACCAGTCGTAACCCAGCCGAGTCGCACACGCCCCCCAAACCCATCATCGCCCGAAACTACCACCACGCACATACACCGCCCGCCGCGCGAGCAAAGGCCCCTCTCTCAGCACATTGATAAGCCTTTACGCAGGCATGTGTGGTACTGCAAGGATCGGGCGTGGACGCGCGCACAGCTGGAGAAGGAGCGGACGGATTTCTTTGAGACGAGAGTCACGGGGAGACCAGAAGTCTGGCAGACGCTGAGGGCCGCCCTCGAAGTCTTGTGGGAAGATGACGTTGCGCCGGGCGAGACCAGCGCCTCCTCCCCCGCAGCCGGGAGTGATGGGGAGAGCGACACCGCCCTCGCCACGGCGCAGAGCATCATCACGGCCGCCGAGATCACGCTGCCCACTGGTGACCTGGCCAAGGGCGCCTACGACTCGCTGGGACACTACTACCCCCTGCCCGAGTGGATCGTCAGGGACCCTGTCAACATCGTTGTCGAGCGCAGCAATGACGACGAGACGATGGGCGGGGAAGAGACAAACGAGGAGCTTGATGACGATGACGATGACGACGATGATGATGAGATCTTGCGCAAGCGGGAGGAGAAGGGCAAGGCGATTGATGATGCCCGGGATCGTATAAAGCTGCGCGCTCGCCTGAGCGAGACGGCGCAGGACATCGTGGTCAGCGTCAAGTCCTCTGACACCATCAAGAACATCAAGCGAAAGGTCCTCCAAGATTCAGGAGTAAGTTTCACTAGACTGAGAAAGGCGGCGATATAGCTTTCTTGCTTGCTAACTTATGCGTAGCTGCTCCGGACCAGAGATCTCAAATTGGTCTACATGGGCAAGGTTCTTAAGGACGACGCTTCCTTGGAATCCCAAGGTTATCATGATGGCCACGTCATAAATGCCTTTGTTTTCTCTCGCTAAGCTAGCTGAGAGATAACAAGCAACTCCTCAGTTAACGGCTGCGATATCACATATGCATTATCCAACCAGCGTCTTTACCGTCCTCGATTTAACTCGACTGTAGAGGCCAGAGATGCAATTTGCTTTTTTCCAACGGTGCGATGCATTGTTTTCAATAGATGTTGGCTGGTCTTCGACGAGTTCAGCACGGGTTCGGGAGGTCCCATCTGATGGGACCACAGGGCCGTGAAATGCTCACGCCATGGACCGGATCATCAATTCCATGATCTGAGCTGCGTTCACGAGGATGAATATTTCCCTTTTTTTCATTTTCTTAATCATCATTATACCCCCGTTCCTACAGTACACTGGAAACCTGCCACTGCCAGCAGATGTATTTCAGTGGGATGACGATACATCATACTACAGTAATACCTCTTCATACCCAATATCTCCATGTTTAATACTCCTTCCCATCCACTTCAGCACCTTTAATCTGACCTGGTTGGGCCCGGTCTATATTCTCCTTCAAATATTTCTTCACTCCGCTTATTCAATGTCATGCATCCGGCCCGGTTAAATACCCATTTCAATACTGTTTATTCTTGGCTTTCCCTGCACGAAGTCTTGGCATCTAGGGAGGATCTACTAGCTATAACTCGGAAGATTGAATTCGACTAATATGAGAGACGCCCTGCTCATCAGCAGAAGGCGCCCTGAAATCAGAGCAAAGGGGCTTTACATTGTGCCGTGACTTACATATATGTACTGTATAATCAGTCATCGCCAACTGTACTTTTGCCTATGAGATGCTACTAGGTTCCGGCAATGAGAGTGCTATTCTGCACATCCGCATTTATTCATTAGAACATCCGCGTGTTCTGATGAGAAAAGAGTCTAGTAGCAAAGAAGAACCAAGATGCTGCATTGTATTGTGATTCAATATGTTCAC